GAGAGAACTGAAAAGGTCGGATAAAGCGAACGAACTTACACGTAAAACAAGAAAAGAAAGCTGAAGAAAGCCTTGTGCTTCACCACTTTCATATTCTATTTTACAACACTAATTAAATGCAGCAAATAAATTAACAAAGACCAATAATTATGGTTTAAGAACAATAATAATTCCAATTTCGTTCAGTTTGCTGAAAATTGGAACATCTGAGAAAGCGATGACAAAATTAATAATTACTTTGTGACAGATGACAACGCAATGTCATTTGTCATTCATACGAAAATCTGACATTCATTTGAAACGAATTTTTTAATTTAGCGCCAACATTTATCGTTTGTATCAGTGATAATATATAAATGACACGTTATCGTGGAACTTTATTTTGCTCTCTGGATTTCACTGGAAAAAGATGAAAGTTTTTGAAAAGCAAATAAGTTAGTCGATTTTATCATTTTTCTATGCCTTCTTCCTACGAATAAATTTGTTGTATTTTTTCTCATGCTAAACTGTTTACGTAGAATTTTATTAGAGAGATAAGGAACCGCTTATTCTCAATTTTTCAAACATAACCTTAATGGTGAAACTGTTCGAGAACTTAATTGGAACTTGTATGGAATCATTTTCAAAAGGTGAGATGTCATATTGTTTTCACAGATCAAGTCAGGTAGATGCCAAATTAATCAAATTTCTTTCATCAATCTTCTTGTACTCTCCATCAACTTTTGATTTCCTATTAGTTAACCGAATCTTCTTTCGGTTTATTTTAAATCAATATATAAAAATGTCCGTTTAGCTTTAACAGATACCATCCATAATCATTTTGTTGCATTCGATAGGACCATTCAACAAAGAATTCTTGAAATGTTTCTTTGTTTTATGTATACCGGAATGATTCGCGTCAGACATCTAATTTTTCAATATAAATAGAGTATTTCTCTTAGGAATCTGCTTCATTAAATTTCAATTTGAATCTCAAAATTTTTTTTGTAAATTAGACGATCTCATAATTATTCAGCTGGAATTTCTATATTCTAATCATTTGGTTACTACATGCCTTAATTAATAAGAAGTGTAAATGAAAAAACAGCTCGATCTATTTCAGATTTTTATTAAAAAATGATCCTGAAGAAGGCCATGAAACAGCGTCTTTTTATTTCATGCCTTATAAAACTTTAAGAAATCAAAAAGTTCGAAAATTTTCAGGCATTAAGCACATAATCAACTTCTGATTATAAATACCAATGCAACTTCGTACATTGTTATTAGTTATTTGTGCCGTTTTCCTGCTTCAAGTAAGCTTCTCAGTGGATTATATTTCAGTCAAAAACTGTATGATTGAAAACAACCTGTAAAGAATGTGTAAATTTTATTTTCAGGCCTGTCCACCACAGCCGGGACCCCAAGGACCAGATGGAAAAGATGGAGAAAAGGGGGAAACGGGAGATCCAGGACCACCAGGACCTCCAGGAGCAGTGGGACCTGCTGGACAGCAAGGACCTAGGGGACAAAAAGGTGTTCGCGGGGTTCGAGGAGTGCATGGACCGCCAGGTGCACAGGGAGTAAAAGGAGATGTAGGACCACCGGGGGCAATGATGGCAGGATAGAAGCAACGGAATTAGTGGAAGATATCGAGAAATTTATGGAACAAAGCTTTATTAAAATTTAATCTTATCACCGCTATTATCGTTGTTATATAATGAATTTATTCTTTCTCTTTCACTGAACAAAACGCTGTTGTAATTAAATGAAAATTGCACATTTACTTTGTCTCAGTGGTAAAAAGGCTAATTTCTCGCAACAATTTAATTGATTTTGGTATAAAATTTGTTGAACTAAAAAAAAGAGTGAAAGAGTGAGATAAAATGAGAAAGTCAGTTTGGAATGAAAGAAAAAAATTTTTCATTTTCTGTTTTCACTTCAATAAAATTGATATAAAGTATTTGGCGTACATCCATTAGACAAAATGTTTTATTAGGACAGCTTGAAAAAAAATTTTTTTCAAACTGTCCTATCGAATGCAACAAAATGCAATATAGAACGTTTATTGATTGCATCTATGGAAGCTAAACAGATCTTTTTAGGTAATGATTTAAAATCTATGGAAAGAAATATTTGATTGATAGAAGATCAACGGCTGAGAGAAGAGGTCGGGAAGATAAGTGGAGGAACAGTTTTGAATCTTCGGAAAAATTATTTCAGTAATTTGAAAATCTAATCGTGCCGATTATCTACAGATTAGCTGTTCGTCAGAAACTTTTGAAATTCCCTGACCTGTTTTTTTTTTTGCTAATTTGAACCGAAATTCAAGTTCAGCTTTTTTGAAACGCGAAACAGTTTATTGTGGTGTAGAACATCATCGCCGTAGATCGTATTTGTCATCCTTCACTATCCTCCGATGACTTCAGTTGAAGATAAGAAGTTTCATCGGGAAAGTTTAGAAAATTTAGTTTCCAAATTTCGCTTCTAGAGCTATCAGAAAGATTAAAATGTTTTTCATGCTTAATTTAGCTTAATTCTCTGAAAGTTTAACCAAAATTGTGCATTTCATGATATAATTGCAAATGATCCTTTTGAGGAATTTTAAATAAAGCACAACAGTTGTGCTCTAATTAAGTTTGTATAAATTTTAGAAACATCAAGAAAAGATGAGTAATGTGTACGTAAATAACTTTAATTAAAACCAAAACAGATGTTTAATTATACCGTTTTAAGCAAAATTCAGTGACACTTAAAGCTGAATAATGGTGATAGGTTAAAGGACAAAGTTTTTATTTCTGACAGAAAGATTTCCTTTATTCTTATTGGCCTATCCTCTGCTTTGTTATCAATAGTATTGAATTTTAGGAATTTCTTTGAAAGAAATTTAAAAGTTTTCGTTTACTGTGTCCCATCAATTTCACACTGTTAATACTGACACATCTTTTCGGCATTTCCCCATTGTTGTTTACACTATTTCTGTTTAGGTCACTTCTCTAATAAGTTGTTTATAAGTCAGAAAAGCTAACTTTGAAGGTTAGAACCATTAGGATAGCATGGATAAAACTCGAAGAAACCAAAAATTAACATCCAGACAGTCCATTTCAAGGAACGGAAATGCCACAAAATGAAGGAGATAAGGTCAATAAATAAATTGATGGAGGAAATTTTAAATTGACAATTTAAATTGACAATGAAAAAAGTAAGTTTGCAAGAGTTGTCAGGAAATATAGGACCAGTGGGAGCGTGGAAGCAATAAGTGATGGATTATCGAAGCGGTCTTTCTCAGTGATATCAATCCTCTTATTTTGGCTACTTTTGTTTGCTCAACATATTCACAGACATGTCCTTTTATTATGTCACGAAATTCGAAGACCTGAAATTGTTGTTAGTGCTTTATGAATTTATTTATAAACGTTTAATGTAAAATGTGAATTTTATAAAGCAAATGGTTGTGGGTTTTCAAATTATTTTCCTCATCACACTCACTGCCACTGTTATATAATGAAAAAAACTTTTTAAATTTTGACCGATTTTTAAATCGAATGAAAATTTCGCATTCTCTGAATTACATAATATTAACATGGCTGAGGAGAGATATGAGTCGAAACATTCCATACCAATTTTTTTGAAGTGACAACAGAAAATAAAAAAGTGAAATGAAAGGAAAAAATCACTTGAAGTGGAAAAAATATCAAAAAAAAATTATAAATTACAACTTTCTCAACACATTTTCCTTTACATTTAGCCAATATGAAAGCAAATTATGATGCAATCAGTTTGTTTGTTTGTTCATAAAAATCCAATTACAATAACAATTTCCGCACGGCAGAATGATGATTGCAATGTCAGTCTTTGATCGACTTTAATATACCATTAAAATTCAATTTTTCATTCATATTATAATAATTTTTTGTCGTTTTTATTAATAAGTTGTTATAGTCTTCAATTATTCCATTTTGGATTATATTATATTGGTCAGTCTGCCAATGTTACCAATAAGATGATCAATAGTGTTCTGTTTGTTCATTAACATAAAAAATGTGCTTGTGATATCTGTAATCAGTTGACAATTAGTCAATTATTCAGTCTGATATAATTTTGCTAATTCATTTCTTCACTCAATCCTTCGACTTCATTTTCATACATCACTTTTTCACTTTAATTTATCAAATTAATATTTCCTTCCCTTCTACTTCAAATCCCGTAGTCCCAATTCTCTCTCAACAGACTACTTCATATAAAATAGGTCTTCAATCCAATATTACCGATCGTTATCCATTCTTCTCGTAAATATTCTTCTTTCAAGTTAAAAAAGAATCATTATAGAAGTTTCCTAAATCCCTCCCACAATACATCTCATTAGACTGTCAAATTTTAACAATGTCTATTTTTGGTATTTTTACCAATTTGACCATTAGCATCGTATTCCCTAAGTTGTAAAGCAGAAGTTTTTGCAAGCTGCCCGCAATCTTCAATAGATTCCGGGCCATACATGCTATTTTTTTAGATCCATGTCGATATGCAGTGGTTCGCATCGGTGATTTGTCTTGAATTTTGCTTAAGAAGAAGTCAAGAAATGGAATTTATTGCAGATCTATGTTGGCTGCAGCGAACAATGGAATAAATCAGTACTGATATTGAAATAGAAGTTTAAAAGATCTGCTGTACAGATAGCGGAAAAATACTGATGTCAGCATATAACGGTTTCAAAAACCATGTAACTTTATCCAAACATCCAGCTCGAGGTGAGGAGAGCGCTAACATTCACAGATTTTATTTAGAACCACGCAGCACTTTCTTGAGGATCCGAGATGACGTCAGTGTATTTTATGTGAACGAAAGTATTCCTTTCAAATTTTTGAAGGTTAAAAATGTCGCTCAATACATTATTATTTCTTATGCTGATAGAATCAGTTCCAGGAAAGTGTTATATGTTATATT